TAGGTGTATTGTTCTTGACAGTTGTTGCGTTGTTGGCAACCTGTCAAAATTCATTTGAGCAATTAAATATGTAGACCGTAATTCAGTTTTTTTATTTAATAAATTTAGGTGATTTTGATCCAAGCCAATTTCTGGCGTTTATATTATTCTCATGTTTTGTACTCAATTTTCTTCACTTTTTTTGCTTCATTTGGCAATGTTCTTCTTTTCTTTTTTTTTTTTTTTTTTTTTTTTTTTTTTTCTTTTGTAAATAATTCGTCAATGTATGAAATTGACAACACAGAAAAAATGTGACTGATTGTTTACCTATCTTATTCTATGCATTTTAAAAATAGGTCCTCCAACTTAGATTATAGAGAATTTAGCTATGCATAAACAGATCATATCATGTAAAATTCTATCTTTCTTTAGTCATAGCCCCCTTTTTTTTACGTTATTGGTGGTTGATGTGGCAAATTTCCACAGCTTCCTCCCAATTTTATTATCACGATAGGTTTGAGAAATGAATTGAGGTAAATTATTTTAAGGGCCATGCTTCCTCTCAGGGAAGTAAGTTATTGCTGATCTTTTCTGAAATATAATACTCCATCCAAATAAAGAATTAGTGGTGGGTTTTCTCTCATGAAAGATAGGATAGGATAGTGTCACAACACAACAATGAATCTCTAAATACCTGTATCTTGTGCTTAGGTATCATATCCATAGAAAAATCATCATATAAAATTATAGTTTTATGTGACACAATGCAGTTTATGTGACGCAGGTAAAAAGTTTTACGTATCTTGATTGCAGCAATATGATTTCTGGAGGGAGAAGTCATGAGAGATCGATGGGGCAATGGGCGGTCAAAAGAAGGATATTGTGTTTTTATTTAGCGTGATGGCACAATATACCTAAGCATTTGATCCGGAGGAAGAAAGAAACCTCGAGTGATTGTGCGATGGACCTAGGCAATCGATCAGGAGGTAGAAAATATTGAATGATGGTGCGACAGATCTAAGTTTTTTATTGGAAGGAAGAAACTACTAGAGTGTGTCAAATAACTTTGCCTAGCTCGTTAGTCAAAGTTTTATTTAATTAAATAAAATTATTGGTTAATTGATGAAATAAAATAATTTTTTTTAAAACTTTTTCAAAAGTAAAAATAAAACAAGTTAAAATGCATTTTTATAAATTTACTATTATAAGTAAAAAATTGAAATATATTTTAAAAATGAAAATACATAATTTATCTATTTTATACTTAAATATATAAAAATAATTCTTTCTAATTTTGAATTAACTTTGAGTAATAATTTGAATTTAATTATGAACAACGGCAACTTAGTTCGAATCTTTCCTAATTTATTTTTTCATTCGAATCTTTCCTAATTTATTTTTTCAGTCCTTTAAATCCCTTCCGCATCTCTATAAATAAAGCCATAATATCGCTTTCTGATTCATCTCCTTCTCCTTCCTCCCGACTCCCCTCTCTACTCTCTCTTGGCCTTCTCATGAGATCGACCGTAGATGCATAAGAATCTCCTGCTCACGAGATCCGCCGGCTCTCGATGCTGAAGAAGGTAGATCTCTCTCTCTCTCTCTCTCTTTCTAGGAGCATGTCGCTAGTTACTCTCATGATTCTCATTTCTATTATGCATCTTGGAGTATCCGATAGGATTAGAGAGCTTTAGGGACTGTTTGCATGCAGGATTTATACCAAATCCTGCCAAACGGGATTTGAGTGCCGCTAAATCTCCTCATGGCGGAATAAATCCTCCGTCTCCCCCTCTGGACCGTAAATCCGGGATTTAGTAAATCGGAAAATTTTAGCGGATTTACGGGATTTGGCCGAGGAAGCGCGCAAAAGGGAGAAAGATAGTTACCTTCACAGCGAGCGATCTCCCGTAGTTGCTTCCGATTAAAATGTCGTGACTTCCGATCGGACAGAAAGGGAACGTCTTCGAAGGAGCGAAGTCGAACAGCAACGAAGGTGCCGAAGCGAATCGTGCATAACTCTACCTCTCGCGAAGCAAAGAAGCCGAACAGCAACGACGAAATATAGAGATGAAAATCAAAGCCAGGCGCTTCTAACCTATTAATCTAGTTTAGCTTAACTAATATAATTAGAAATATTAATGATTAAGTAAATCAAGTAAATAATTACTAGTATAATAATGCATAAATTAATCTTCTAATTTAGCTTATTAAATAACTAATAGTACAGTTAGTAATTAAAAATTAATATAATGAAGTGAAGATTATATTTGCCATGAGATTTAACTTGATGTCTTTTGGCGTTTGGCAGACAAATCCTGCAACTAAATGAATCAGTTAATGTAATAGTTTAATTTCTATAAAGTAAGATAATAACTAACTTATTGGTCAAAAGCTTCGTTGCTTATGCTAACACATTTAGGAGTAAGAATAGTAGCAGAGGGGTGAAATGCACTGTAATTTATGTAATTATATATATATATATATACATATATACATACACAAATTAGTTTGCAAGGTTGGATTTCAAATTATTTAAATGTTATTCTCTTTAATTGTTCTTAGAAGATTAATACAAAGGTATCTCTTGAAGAAAGAGTTTTTATTAGAGTAGATATTAAAACATTTATGGTGATGATTTTGTAGCAACTAATGAAGTTGGTTAGGACTATATTAGGTTTTATTCTTGCTTATGATTTTGTAATTGCTAACATCTTATTTAAGAAAAGAGATGAGCTTCTCATCACTTATAAGAATGGATACAGTTAAACTCAGATTAATTATTTTCTTATAAGAAAAATAGACCATTTAGATTGTAAAGATTATAAAGTTATTTTGAGTGAAAGTTTATGTACTCAACATCGTTGCAAATTAAATCCCTGACTGCTGTGGATGCCTGAGAAGCTCCAAGCTTTACAAGTGAGACCACCAAGATGTTGCTGAGGTGGCTTTTATGGAATATGTCTATGTTTCCTATGGTGATGACATAGCATGCCTATGATACAGGCATTGAAATTATCTATTGAATACTTCACATAAATCTTCCTTGTAATGACTGCTGTGGTGCTTGATATGGTTCAGGATTCACATCTTCTTCTTCTCTAATAATTTTCTCCATTATTCCCACAACTTTATATGTAATCTAAGTAAAGCCTTAAAGCCTCTACACAATATATTATTTCTATTAAAATCTTACAGAAGATCAAAATTGAAGCTTGCTCTCTACTTTCTCTATGGTGTATTAGTTATCGTTATTCTTTAGAGAAGATCTAAGCTCTTCTTCTTTGGCTTCATAGAGGCGGTAATGATAATGATTGTGGAAGCGAACATACCCATGTAGTCATTGCAATGGTTGTGAATTTTCTCTTTGTATTTTTGTGGGAGGGTACAGTTATCCTTTCCAATTGCTATTTTAATTTCATGATGCAAATCCCCATCCCTGCCTTATAATACACTTCATATAAGATTCTGTGTTGTTAATATGATTTTAATTTGTATTTAAATGTCAGCTGAAGATATTATCAATATAATTCTTATAAAGGATTCTTTATATGGTTCATTTGGTTGTTTGAAATTTGAGATGTTTTGAGTTATGACAACATTTTCTAGATTTCTCCATTTGACTAAATGAAGTTAGAAATAAAGGTGAATTGAGTGAGAAATGTTATTGGTTTACACATGGATGATGCTCTGATCCATCCTTCCCTTTTGCAAGGAATTTATTAGTTAAATTTCTGTATGCATGATGGATCTTTGCTTGGCATTTAGAGGATGGATGATATTGGTACGGAAAAGTCAGCTTTTTCTCTTTAACCTGTCAGTTGGCCACAATCTGTTGGTGGCGTTTATGGCAATATTAGAAATTTTTAGGATGTAAAAGGATGTGATTCTGAATGATATAAAACGGGATATGGCCGATATTCTTGTGTAGACAGGTATTTTGTGATGTGTTGCTTTGCAATATAAAGGTTCTGTGTGGATAAAATTTTTCTTTTTCATTATAGTTGAAATTGGGCTTATATGAACATCATGAGGTGATCCATAAACCCTCTTATATGGAATTTCCTATAAATGTGTCCATATGTTCTAGTATTATTGTTTTTTGAGTAAAGATGATGCTTGAAGAGGTGTAATATCATAATATATCATTATGAAAAAGGAGAAAAATGATATTTCCTTACAAGGGAGATTATTTATTTTTTATAGATGGAAATCCTATTACTCAGCTCTATCTTAACCATAAAATATAGTCAAGAGGGTGTGATTAAGATCAATGCCATACACATAACCATCAAAGTAAGAATTTGTGATGGTGATGATGATGATGATTTGGAATTTAGCCATTGGTTGCATATGGGTGCTATGGTATTTCTCTATTTCTCTATTTTCTATGGAAATGATGATGCATGTTTGGATGGTCTGAGCTTCTCAGGCAACCATACATACCATTACCATGGGATTCATTTACAATCATTATTTGAAAGCTGCTACACTTGTCTTATTTCATGAATTACCATGGGACTGTTGCCTTTTTTTCTTATAAGTTTGAGGATAATTGTCTAATTTTTTATAATTGATAGCCATCACTTTATAAGTTTGAGGGCATCCGACTTTATTCTAATTTTTATGCATTAAGGTAAAGCTTGCAACCTTTCTCTAAGACAAAGAGTAAAGAAAAATTGCATGAAGGGGCAAAATCTTTATGAGTGAGCAAAATTATATCAGTTGCCCATCTTCACCTTGAAATGCAGTTGGGAGGGGTTATTTATGTGACAATTAGCGAGGCTAGTGCCATACAAATAACATGCAATAGCATGTTGCTCCTTTTTTGTTTATGAATGAAGAATCTTTGCTGGCGATGATGTGATTAAGTTGAGAGCCATTGACCAAGCCTGACAACTATGGAATATCAATTATTATGTACTCTTTTTTTCAATGGTGATGTTGTGGCATTTCATGGTGGCCTTGAACTTTTAGGTTGCCCATTCCTGCCTTATCACTAGGGGGAATTCATGCATAATGTTATAAAAACTGCCTAGTTTTTTCCCACCCAACATGAGAGAGCCCAGTGTTCCTGAACATAAAGGATGGCATCAGAAGAAATACTACAAGAATCACAAAGTTTTTATAGAACTTCTACAGAGAACCAAGAAAAATGAAAAGGAAAGAGGACAGTAAACAACAAATCTAAAAACGTAATCTAAAGGAGTTTAATAAAATGAATCAATACCTTTATCAATAACAACATTAAAAGAACCAGATTCAAATGCACTCATATCCCGTACATCCATTTAATGTCTGCAATGGTAGTCAGAAGGAAAGTGTGCACAAAAATGTTGCAAAACAATCATACCTTGGCATAAATGCCCAAAAATCTTGAAATCATACAGCTACAAAGATGGTGACGCAGTTCATCATTGGTGTGTTTTCTTCCTCAATCATAACTATATTGTAAAAAAGACATATTAAGTTTTCATTTGACAAAGCTTTCTTACGGTTTTCTAAAGCAATTATCGAGTACAAAAATTTCAAGTTCAAGAAATAAATCAAACTAAGGATAAGGAAAGCTCAACCATGGAAGATCCACTGATAGCTGGCAAACAGTAGCTACATAGACACCGTTATAAATATAGCCACTGATCACTTATATTTGAAAACAGCCACAACAGAAGAACTTGGTGCAACAACCCAAAGAGCCATGCTTCTTCCACAACAAGCCCATCAACTACAAATATAAATCTGACACAGCCTTATAATTTCAAAGGCAGTAATACCTACCACACTGCACATTGTATAGCACCAAAACCAAAAAGACAATAATGCAAAAGAAAAGAAGGTGATTAAGAAATAAAATTAGAGACAAATAACAGGTTGCTCAATTGACAACGGTATCCACAAACAAAGAAAAGTACATTAATGTTCTTCAGATCACAGTACATGAATCCCCCTATTGATCACAGTTGTGGTTCCTTGAAGTTCCAGGCCATTCTGAAATGCAAAAAACATCACAGAAAATATAAAAGTTATAACATGACTCCTCAGACAATAGTGGCCTAAAAATCATCATTGCCCACAAATCTTCTTATTCATAAACAGAAAAAACAACAACATGCAACCTTTTTGTTACGTTTATAGCACTAGTCTTGGTATCTGTCATGTAAATAAGCCCAGTTAGCAACGTTCAATGAGACAAAAAATATGAAATTTACCTGCAGTTCACTCATTTAGATTTAGCCTCTTAATGCAATTTCCTTTATTCCCTCTCATCAAGAAAGATTCCAAGATCTCACCTACATCCATAACAATTATAATGAAGACAGAGGCCCTCATGCTTACATACGTGATAGAGTATTATCTATTTTAGAAGAGCAGCAGCTCTAATGAAGAGAGACAATTCAACTATTATCCCTTTTACAAGAATAGTAGTTCTTATCCTCACACATCTTATACTGACAAATAGGTAAATAATATTTCTTTTGTGCTTAATTCCTCCAACCAAATCATGGCCGAAGGAGAGGCAATCCCAAAAGGAGATGAGAACAAGGAAAAAAAAAACAAGAATTAGAAAAAAAATCCGATTGTGGAATCCATGAAATAAGAAAAGCAGAGAAGCTTTACGTATGATATTGCAAATTGTGCAATACCCATAATCCAAAAGGACTACATTTCAAAAAAGGAAAGAAGAATTAGGGACCAATACACAAACAACAAGAGGGCTCAGATGATTGTGGAAGTCACAAAATAAGACAAGTGCAGAAGCATTCTTCTAATAGATATGCATGAATCCCTTTGGTAAATGTAGTTGTGCGGTTGCCAGTGAAGCTCCAGACCATCCAAACACACCACATCATTACCATAGAAAACATACAGCTATTCAATAGTAGCCTCGTGCAATTGATAGCTAAATTCGAAATTCATCATCTCATCGCCCTCACAAATTCTTACTCCAATGATACAATATCACACAGGAATATTACTAAATGGTATTCAAGACATATGGCCAAATAATTTATGGAATTATCA